TATGTCAAAGTCATTTATATGTGCCAAACTTCCAGCTGCCAGCTGGTGGCTGATGACTATAATTGAATATTGGCATGTAGATGTCTTCAGGCCAGGACTTTTATCCAACATATAAAGTTTGGTGCAGATTGAACATGGTATGTTTGAGCTAGTGTAAAACATGACATATCTTGTTGCCAACAGGTGCTATGATTATAACTGAATATTGTCCTTTAGATATCTTCAGGCCAGGACTCTTACCAAACATGTGAAGTCTAGTGCAGATTGGACATTGCATGTTTAAGTTAGTGTAAAACAAGTAATTTCCTGTTGCCAGCAGGTGGCGCTATGATTATAACAGAATATTGGCCTTCAGGCCAAAACTCTTAGCGAACGTGTGAAGTTTGGGGCAGATCGGAAATTGTAGAGTTACAACAACTTCCTTTTCCATGGCAAAACACAATGGGCTTTAGATTACACTGACCAAATTTGGTGTTGATCTGTTTAAATCTCTAGGAGGAGTTCGTTTAAATACAATGCCTGAAAATGGCACAAAACTTGCCAAGAAAATTAAAAATAACAGACATCCTGCTGGGCTTTGGACTTGGTACCGAGGGACTTTTTTTTAGGGATTGGTGTGTTACATGTCTACCGAATTTCATACATGTATGTGAAACATAGCTCGAGGGGCACTTCGTTGAAATTTTATAGGTGGCGCTATTGAGCCATTTTGCCGCACCCACTTCTGAAACCCAAAATAAGATGTAAATTTTTGCCTTTTCTGTTGCGTATGCAAAGTTTTACGAGTTTTCGAGCATGTTTAGGCCCTCAAAAATGCGATTCTCTTTGGATAAGAAGAAACTAAGCAGTTCCAATAGGGTCCTCGCACCACCGGTGCTCAGGCCCTAAAAATCACTGATCCCATATTTTTGAATTATAGTGTCTACAATGAATTTTATTGCATGAGGCATAGATAATGGGAAAATACTTACAATATATTGTTATTTTAGAAAATATCTGCTTTACACACTATTTGACCTGATGCTTTGTATTAATTGTTTACTTGCATTTTTTGTACTGTCTGTTATTTTCTCTGAATTGTTTTTAGAAATCCACTGGAGAAAACACCCATGTCACATCCATACAAAATGCCTCAGAAAATATGATCTGAGACAGAACATATGACAGAAACATTGTTCTCCAGTCTTCTATTAGTTCCTCTAATTTTAGTGTAAGTTCGATGTTATATCTTCAGGTTGAGAAAAGAAAATCTGCATGTAACATTGAAATTCATTCTTATCCTTCAAAGTTGTTGATTTTTTTTCTATTTTGCAATATAAAATATAAAACGTATTTGACTGTAAACAATATAAAATATAGAAAAGAATGA